CATATGAACATCTCAACCATATAACAAGGTCGAGAATTTGCACTATTCTAGGAAAGCAAACACAACACTCGCCCATAACAAACACTAGCAACTTTTATTCTGAGAATTAGATAGATTCCTATTACTGAACCATGAATTAGTTACATAGTTCCGTGACTTCTTCTTGGGGTAACGATCTTAAAACGGCCTAACACTCGGTGCACCATTTCAGTACGAGCGACATGAAACTTGGCATTCTTGCTCTTTCGACGTCAGAATTCCAAGATGGCGGCGATGACGCCATGGCCGGCTCCTGGTTCAAATGGCTACGCATTTGAAATCAAATGAAATGGGGTTAAATGTTTTACTTTTCTGTACCATAGTGCGTTCGTAGTTGCGTGTTGCTGTACTGTAAGTACAGGGATCCATAGTGGCTCAGTGAGTATAACGTTGGATGGCTAACCTGGGGATCTTGTGTTCAATCCCGATATTGACCGAGAAAGTTCGTTCGGATGGGACGAAAACCCTAGGTCCCGTGTACACATTTGCGTGAACGTAACATAACCCTTGACAGTTGAAATTCTAAATAAGAGTAGGCCGTAGTCCGGGCTAAATTTCCCCCCTAGCGCAATGTGTGACGTATGCTCCTCTTCATTAGCAGTAGGACGTTAAACCCTATTTCATTTCATTTTCTGTAAATACAATGTCCGAACCACGACCCTGTCATACCTCGAAGACAAATGTTTTAAACAGACACAATGATCTTTTATATCGTATAAACCCCCTTTTATAGAAACGTACCGTGCATGGCTCGTGGCTCTTGTCTAAATGGGATGTAAATCTGCTGTTTTCTAGACTGTGAAATTGATTTGTTAAATTGAAGAATTGGTCACCCGTAGGACCGAGTCGTGATCACCTCGCCTTTAACTCGACTAGTTGTCAATATCAAACAGTCGTAACCCGTCGGTTATTGACGCAACTAGAAATAATTTTCCAAGCATGAAATGTCCTCGCTTGTGGTTAATTTACCAATATCCTCTCAGGCCTGAAACTAAGTTTATAAAAGTCAACATGAATGTAAGTCATTTTACTCAAGTTTGTCCAAATCAGAATCATTATTATTGATCCTATGTAGAGAAAAATATAGGATTTTTTCGCTTTTGGATCAGTAGTTTCTTCCATTAGCCGATTTGTCATTTTTTTAGTATCTTTATCGGAATTTGATTTGCATTGTGCACTTTCTTATTATTTAATACGGAATCATCCTCGTTATTTAACGATGAAATAGGATTGGATTTAAAAAGTAAAAAGATCAGAGTATTGACGAATAATCCATTAAAGAAAAATGATTGGTTTTTTTTGTTGTTTTTTTTTTGTTGTTTTAGCAGAAGTTATTTTTGAATATTGATTAGTTTTTATAGGATATAAAACAGAGTTAAAGAGCATAACCATCGTGTTTACGATGTAATATTACCCTGTAAATACTGTATTTGTGAATTACGATTACCCCGTAAATATTGTATTTTTGTGAATTACGATTACCCGGTAAATACTGTATTTGTGAGGGGGGGTTGGATGGCTGAATGGTTAGCGTGTGCACGCTGTATCATAAAGTCTGTCATTGAGTCAACTGGCGTGGTTTCGAATCCCCGATTGTACGTGGCAAGGAGTAGGGTCGTCTGTCCAACCTCGTGGGTTTTCTCCGGGTCCCCGGTTTCCTCCCACTGCTAAAGACCCCTACGCGCAAGCGAATTATTGAAATAAAATTTTAAAAAACCATATGTTAGTCCCGAAATGACCTAGTTTGTGTCGAGTGGTCGTTAAACTCCATTTCTCTCTCTCTCTCTCTCTCTCTGTATTTGTGAATTATGATTACCTCGTAAATACTGTATTGTCAATTATGATTACCTCGTAAATACCGTATTTGTCAATTACGATTACCTCGTAAATGCTTTTGACAGATTGATGAACTAAACAAATATCAACCAGCTGATTATATTCTTTCTGTAAACTTATATACAAAACAGAAAAAAAAACCAACAAAAAAAAAACGTCAGTACGATTTCAAAATCAGAGAGGCACTTTAATCCAATCAGTCTAGAAAACGACTTACTAAATGGGTCAAAGCAATATTTTGTGAACAGTATGTTGACACGTTAGTGATTAATTCATCACAATACCAAGACATTACGAGAAGGTTTAGAGTCTGTACACAGTCTACACATCAGTATCTGGCGTGTCCACCGCGAGCGTCTGTACATGGAGTGGACCAGACGATTGATGAACGCTATTGGCACCTGTAACCATACTCTCAGAAAAGCCTGGTGCAGTCCATCGGCTGTGTTTGGTCTCGGTACGACGTTATTAAGTCTCCTCTGAATTTCATTCCAAAGATGTTCAATCGGGTTTACGTCATGCTGGAAAACGTTGTTTCGATGACGTGCGAAATGTGGTATGACGTGGGGCCTGAGAGCTAGATCGAAGTAGATTTTGAAACACCGCAGGACCCACTCTCTTGTTCAGGCCGATTCCACCCCAAACCATTATGCTTGGACCTCCCAATGAGTCTCGTTCCATGACACATTGGTCAGAATAACACTGGCCACGTCGACGCCATGTTCTGGTCCTACCATCTGCAGTTGATAATACGCAATACAGACTTTCATCTGTGAACAGAACAGTCCTCCATTGCATGTGTCGCCAGGTCTGGTGTTGTCAGGCAAACTGTTGACGTTCACGTCGATGGCGATGGGTGAGGATCGGTCCACGGTTAGGTCTACGCCAATGGGTTTTTTCTCTGGTGAGACGTCGGCGCACTGTATCCTTACTGATGGGTCTTCCGTGTGTTCCCACTGTCTGACATGCTGTCTCAGATGCCTGTGTGAAGGGATTCTGTATGTGCTGTCGCGCAACATGGCGGCCTTGTCGCCTTGTTGTAACCCTTGGTCTACCAGTTCGGGGCGATCATCCGTGGTGTTGGTGGCCGATGGTCCGAACATTGACCTGGAAGTGATTGGCAACGGCTTGGGCAGTGCGGCCAGCGCCGGGTCTTCCAAGCGCCTGGTTCCTCTGAGCTGTCGTGAGTCTTGACATGCTGCTGACGTTGTAGTGTGAATGATTCAAACACGTATGGGGGTGTATTTTATAGGGCTGGTCCCGGTGAACAGCACGTGCAGCATGAGTTACATAAAAATCATGGAGAACACATTACCATCTCAGAAGTCAGGTTGCGTTTTTGAGAACATTTCCTGGGTTCAGTTCAGTTGGAGATGTGGTCACAAATATACAGTAAATATTTGGCAAGTTTTATGCAATGCGTCTATTCAGAGTAACATACCAGCCTGACGTTTCTTTTGCTGCTTAGTATATGTTCTTTAACACTATACATACATGTATGTTTATATCATCCACGTATCTGGCCCTGAGGGGTTGATGGCAGAGCGCTTAGTCGTTTGGAGTTGAATACAATTCTGAAGTAACGAATATACCATAGGTGGTACCTTAATTATCCCCTGGCAGTTAGAATAAGACGAAATAAGAATTACACCTAATTTTATTTCATTTTATGTATATACAAGTTGAACATTTTAATGATTTAATTTTTAAGAAATCCAGACAAAAAAAAGTAGTTAATTCTATGCCCAGTCTTTCTCACATTTACTCTGATCAAGATAATGAAACGACACGTCCTGCTGTTCTGTCCCAACTAGGCTAATGATGACGGACATACCCCATACAGTATGCCATAAGGAATTTTTTTACCGGACAGTGGCACTACGGTCTATCCTTATATCGAATTCCAGCTGTCAATGGTTATTTTACGTGCACGTCAATGTGTATAAGAGAAATCGGGGTTTTGTCCCATCCGAACGACTAGACAGCTATCTATGTCAGACCATCAGAGCAAGATACGTGGATGATGTAAATATAGGACGCTAAAACCCATTTCATTTCACTTCCCTTGTCACGCGAAAAAAACGGGATAAAGTATTTATTGTTTCTGACGGACGTGTTTTTTTTATCTTGTTTTAATAAATTTTAAATGTTCAAAGACTGTAACGATTAAACCATTTGCTGTAAACAGTGAAGTGGTTAGAATAATCCCAAACAAATGGCGTTGCGATCAAGAAAAAATTAGTTCATCAAAAAAAATCCATCAAAAATAGTCCCTAAACAGCAAACATGACAAAGGTGTAAAGTAGATTAAAAAATGTAATCATTTTGAGAAATCTGTAAAGGCCGATCCAATGCCAATAGTTTTACTAGATAAATTGTTTTAATTGAGTATATCAGTCGGAACGAGGTTCCCTTGGTGAAATTATTCATTTTTAATGTGTCTGTGACTATTATCTATCTACACAGATCTTGGTACATATTTTCGGATAATTCACTATTTATATGATTTGGTAGTTGTGACCGGAACTGAACATAAGAGAAATGAAATGGGGTTTAACAACCTACTTCTGTGAACCAGGCGGGATAATGAAGACGACGGGTAGTGTACTATGAGGTAAACTGTGCGTTTCCGCCTACTCTTCGTCGAATTCCTACTGCCAAGGGTTCTCTTACGTGCACGGCAACATTTACACAGATCCTTGGTTTGTCACACCAGCCGAACACTAGACGATATTCTTTGCCACCCCCTCAACCGTTCACCACTACTGACACCCGGTTGGAGGGCTTGGCAAGGAAAGAATGGGATGACAAACGGATGTCCGTGTACATGTTACTGTGCACGTACAATTATCCTTGACAGTTGCAATTAAATATAAAATGGCCAATAGAGCCTTCATAGTCGTTCGGATGGGACAGAAAAACGAGGTAATGCGTACAACAGGCTGGTGTGCACGTAAAAGAACCCTTGGCAGTTGGAATTCAAAATAAGAGTAGACCGTAGCGCCGCTGTCCTGAAAAAAAAACTTTCCCTCCATAGTACACTATAAGGCGTTACCTGTCTTCATTATCTCGGTTGGTGCACAGGGGTATGGCATTAAGCCTCATTTCGGTTGGCTTTGACTTACTTTTAGAATATGGTCTGACTCTTTTATCATATCCATGCAATAGCCCGTCTAATAAATTCGACATATTCTTCATCTTCTGAGAGCAGTGTACCTCACACACCTTGAACGAGCTGAAATAATATCAATAAATAAATCAATCAATACATGAATGAATGAAGGAAGGAATGTTTGGTTATATTCTTTCACATTCTTGATACTACTGTTACTATAAATAGACTCTCCCAGTTTATCATAAAAATTGTGCTTATGCATAGAATACAACTTTTCTGTTAGTTTTTCACAATAACGAGGTAGTATGTGGTGTTATTTGGTATTAGTTGGTAAGACGTGGTGGTATTCGGTAGTATTTAGTTAGTATTGGGTTGTAATTATTTGGTACTAGAAGAATGCCCGGCTTCGCTCGGGGGTCATAACCCCGAAACCGGAAGTGTTAGACTAACGCCACCTGGCCTATGTTACTCCCCGGTCCGAGCTACCCCTATACCCCAAATTTCAGACACGGGGCAGACCTAGTGTAGCCGCCAACCCCGAACAGACAGACAGACAAACAGACAGACAAACGACAGTCACAAATATTAGTATAGATTGCGTAGCATTGGGTAAATCGTCCTTTCGGTTGAACAGTGTCGACCCCAACCTGCATCAGACTACAAATTCGACAAGCGAACTGATTATAATGTTTTAACTCAATGGTCAAAGATTCACAGATATTATTTTGATTGAATCCTGTATCATTACAGGTCCCAGACTGTAGGCCTAGAGCGCAGTGGGAGCTTACGGCTGACCCACGGATTTGATATTTGTTGTGCATTTCGTGCAATGTCTGTGTTAGCAGGTTTGTCTTGTCTGCAGGTTTGTCTATTACACTATACCTTGAGAAAATGAGATAGCCTTTGAGAATAAAAGTCCCTTACATCATTTGTAACTGTAAATGTTTTTCTATCTTGTGTTATATTAATTGTTTTAATACTCATTGATGTAATCGCCAGATTAATTTCTACTCAAAAGTAAATCACAAGAGACAAGGATTACAAAGAGAATATATTTTCCAGTTCCCTTCAGGGATGTTACGAGATTGACTTGTACATACACTATTTAATTTACTGTGAATGGTCGATGGAGATTTTATTTCTCGTAGCAATTTATAGCCTTTGGAGTACAAATGAAAGAAAAAAATATAGCATGTTTTTTTGTTTAAAGTTCACGGAAATGAGTATGGTTCAGAAAATACAGAGAGAAGTTTTATCAGATCACCCGATTTTTTCTTCAATTCGACATGAATCTTCAAAGACGTTTTTGTTATCACATGCAACAATGGGCACGTACATTAATCTATTGACATCAATTGAATTGCATAAAATGTCAACTAGGGTTAATTTGGTGGAAAATGTTTTCATGCCTTTTTCTTTTCAAGTCCTCGTTTTTTCTAATCTTTATTCTATAATCGGATTACGGTCAATCCCAACTGAGAGAAAAAAAACTACATGTACAACACAAAAAAAAACAAAAAAAAAAACGAAAGCAAAAAAGTGCAGCATACGGCATGGCACAATTACATACATATTCTAGAGAAGATAAAAACAAGAATTTTTGAAAGACGAATTTGTAATTGTTATTGAATGCTATGACGTTTAAAATGTTGCATATGTATGTTATTTCAAAACAATATAATGTAGAAATATTTTCTTGTCAAACAATCAACTAGAATATAGAAATGTTATCTTGGCGAACATTCCAATACAATTATAGACTTGTACACGTCCGATCCAAATTTCCCTCATATCACACGGCATGTGATATGGCTTGTGCCGATCTTCATTATCCCTGGAGGTGCAGAAAATTTGAAAGCAAGAAAAGATTATCAATAAGTTGCAATAAAAGGTGTACAGATGTAAGATAATATATATTTACGGCAGCATCGAGACTAGGGAGTACAATAACAAATTTTTGACTATTAAATTTTCATTGGCTTGAGGAACTTTTGCAAGATATTATTATAGACAGTTGTTAAATAAATATTTGTTCATCCACACAAAAGCAATGTTTATTTCAAATTATTCCAGGGTGTTGCAGAATTCTTGTGTATACACTAGTTTTGTATATAAATCGTTTCTTAGTGAGAGCTTCTATATGCGGTCACAGGATAGCTAAAAGGGTATCTGTGTAAATTGCAGACTCATCCCAGTTAAATGTTGTTTATGATTAACATAAATCCAAGCCTGTAATGGAATTAATTTTATACAATTTATTTTGACGCTCTAAAGTCATCATCTGTTTAAACGTTACTCACGGGTTTGTTAAATCAACCAAGCTATCTAAATAATGCAAAGAAAGACTCCTACAATGTCATTAATGTTTATCACTAATTATTTGAAAATACTATTGGTTTGTCAATGCGTTGAAAATCTTAAAACGATAAGAAGTGTCAATCAAATATATCTGTTCTATTGTTAGATACTTGATATTCACATTTAGATATTTGGGTTCCACATGCAAGACAATGCTACTGTGGATGGCTTAAGAGTATTTTGCTACTAGTAAATCTTAGAAGCAGAGGCGATACGACAGTTTTTCCGAGGCAACGGGCTTTGCGGCAAAGGTATTGAGCTCGTGTGGATATCGCGATACTCCTTATCGGGTATCGAGCAAATGGCAGTCTTGGGGTTGGTGAGAGATGTGGAGAAAAGATCACCGGCTGCTATCCTGGCCAAGGAATTCGCCGATCCGCACACCCTGGCTTTTAAACATGACCGTCTCCTGCTTAGCCGAGGGCTACGCGAGAGCTCAGAAGAATCAGAATGTACCTTTAAAGTTATAATATGGGTGATGTTCTGCAATAACGAACTTTATTGTTAATAGTCGCACACTAAACAACATGGTACGTGGGGGAAGGTGGACGCGATTGGCCTAACATCTTTTATTTGTGCCATTAGACGACTTAAGGCAATATTGATACAACTTAATTACTCATAAACGTACATCCAATCAGTGCTAAATTACCACGAAAGTAAGTCACTGGGACATCAAACACTGAATGGACTTCCAGTAATAATAATGTGGATTGTTAAACGGTTTCCATTTATACCACCATTAATACCCAAAGGTCTTCCGGGTCAGCTACAGCAATGATGTATTTACATTTATTGTATGAGTGAGGGCAACAAAGCCTGATCGAGCCTTATTGCTGGAGTAAACTATATACTTAAACGGTGTCTACCATGACTATATTCGGTGGTCAGAAAAGAAAAGATCTGATGGGAGAGACGAAAGCAATGTGGTCAATGTATAATAAAAGTGATCTAATCGTGTTATAAGAACAATATTGTGAGATAATAGAAACTCCAGTCGCCACCAGTTCTAGAGATAACAAAATACGGTACCATTGATCATAGGAATACCAGATATAAAATCTGCAGATAACGGATTGGAACCTGGCCTGTTTAAATTGGTAATAACACACTGACTCGTGTTCTAATTAAAGGGGTAATGACATTGACTAGTGGTCTAATTAAAAAGGTAATAACATACTGACTCGTTGCCTGATTAAAGACGTAATAACATTGAATCGCGGTCTGATTAAAGCGGTAATAACATATTGCTTTGTGGTCTGTTTAAAGGGTTAATACGACATTGACTTGTGGTCTGATTAAAGCGGGCATAACATACCGACTCGTGGTCTGATAAAAGGGGTAATACGATATTATTCATGGTCTGATTACAGAGGTAATAACATATTGACTCATAGGCTACATAAAGAGGTAACAACATATTGACTCGTGTTCTAATTAAAGGGGTATTGCCATTGACTAATTGTCTTATTAAAGGGGTAATAACATATTAACTAGTGATCTGATTAAAGAGGTAATACTACTGACTCGTTGTTTGATTAAAGAGTTAATAACATATTGACTGATGGTCTGATTGAATAGACAATAACATATCGACTCATGGTCTGATTAAAGAGGTAATAAGATATCTAATACTTATAGAGATTAATTAGAGAAACCAACAAAAGTTTGTATTACAATAGTCTTGATTCGTATTGATTACAGTACTGATTAGCTAAGTTTCTTAGCTAACCTTGATTCTTTTTGATTAGCTAAGTTTCTCAGCTAACCCCAGAATCTCCCGGTTAGTGAGTCAGCGACATATTCCCCCGAGCTACCTTCATAGTTAACAAATTCGTTCCTACATAACTCGTGGTCTGAATAAACAGCTAATAAGATAGGAAGAGAATATTCACAACTACTATGTTCACGAATAAAGATATTCTCGTGAGAGAGAAAGACAGAAATGGGGTTTAACGTCCACTCTTTGGGACAATCTGTTTAAAACACAGATCCTATTTCGTTTTGTTTTTATAGTTCAAAATTTCGTTTTACTTGTCTTTACTACACTTGTATCTGGAAGAGTTGTTATTTAACTCGTGTTCTGAATGGTGTCAGGGATAAGCCAATGAAACGGTCTGTTACGGCGAGCTTTAGGCGTGTTTTGCACGGAACTGTGGGTAATCCACTAGTAACATCAATGCTGATTGGTTAATCAAATGTCTGACGTCATAGGGTCATAAGTCGGTCTTTTGACCCCTGACGTGACCTATGGCTATAACTTGTCAGATGTTGGCCATGGAAAGTATAAAAAGACGAAACGAAATATAGATCTGTATTTTAATCAGATTGCTCTTTGGGACTAACATCTGTTTCAATTTTATTTCAATAATTCGCTTGCGCGTAAGGGTCTTTAGCATTGGAGGAAACCGGAGGATCCGGAGAAAACCCACGAGGTTGGGCAGGCGACCCTACTACTTGTCACGTACAACCGGGGAATCGAAACCAGCCAGCTGACTCAATGTCAGACCTTATGATACAACGCGCACGCGCTAACCATTCGGCCATCCCCCCTCCCCCAAATTGCAAATACCTTTGGAAAAAATGACAATTATGGAGTCAGACTAGAATACACCTAACGCCTATACTTTTTTATTGTTATACAGAATGTCCCAATGAAACTTTTCCCTAATACTGTGGTTACGAATAACCTTCCCTATACTTGTATATACAATAATTACATATACCACAGAACTACCAAACAACATCTCTAGAAACGGATA